ACTCGAGCATTCAAGAACCTTCGAGAATATCATGACGTGTTACTAGCGTCACGTGACTTCCGCTGTCGTAACAATATAAACATCATGGGAGGCCACATGAATCCCTGCCACTCAATTATATCCAGTACAATTATATCGGTAGTTTTTCAAGGAGTACAAACTTTTCATAATACAAGCATCCATGGATAATTATTTGGCTACGATACAGTCACTGTCGGCTAATTTTCTTCGAAGCTACCACTTGAAACCTTTTAAGAAGAAATACTTTATATATTAGAATGTAGATTTCTCTAACACCCAGGATATGTTGAATCATCGTGCTTGGCAGTTCCCACTCAAATGTATCAGTGAAGATATCTTCATTATTTGTAATCATCATGGTGGATTGTGTCTTACCATGTAGGCCTTGAACTCGGCCCAGTGGATAGTTTGGTTCTTCACTGAGTCAAATTTTCAGTGCAGCTCAACTATGACTGTATATCTGTTACTTAGCTATACCTTGACTAAGTGCTCGAGTGAGTCAAACACTTTACCATGAAGACTCAATATCAGGTACTCCGTCACCTCTTTCATGCAGATCCTTCCTTAGCTGTGCCCTTGAATGTAGGAGGAGATGTATTCTTATGTGAAAATAATTTCTGCATTATATTAGTTAAGTCCACTTTGTAAGGCAAATATAGATCAGCCAAACGTAAAAAAATTGATTTTATCTAAATGACTGAGTTTGAGGTAAGAAAACGGACAGACTGAATACCTGATGTATAGAAAAACACAAGCTTTATTGTACACCTTAAAGCAGAAAATACATTGTGCATACTTGTGGAGATGCTGGGCAGTCGATTCTATAGGATTAGTGAATCAATCAGCAACTTTCATTACTCGAGATGTTTTACTGTTAGCTGACTCCCGTTAGAAATTTGGTAAAAAATTATGTAAAATCAACGCTCTGTACCAACAAGAAACATCGAATTTATTCAGAGCGACAGCCGTTACCACGAGTTGATCGTTTTCTTACAACATGGTGAAGGTTATAACTTTGAGATATTATCAACGCAGCCATAAATGATATTGCTGCCGTTGACATGTTTTAACACAATGTGCGAAGTAGCAACAATATCCCAATGAGCAAAGCAGATACTATCCGCTTAAGTATGAGTTGAATTTGAAAATGTGGACCCAATGTATACAGTCCTGCCGCCTGGCATGGCCAGGTGGTTAGGACGCTCGATTCGCAATCTGCGAGTCGTGGGTTCGAATCCCCGTCCTATCAAACACTATCGCCCTTTTATCCGTGGGGGAGTTATAAGGTAGCGGACAATCCCACTATTCTTTGGTAAAAGAGTAGTCCAAGAGTTGACGATGAGTGGTGATGACTAACTGCCTTCACTCTATTCTTTCACTGCTAAATTAGGAACGGCTATCGCAGATAGCCCTCGTATAGCTTTGCGAGAAATTAAAAACATGCTTCTAGTACTAGGTTCAGAGTAACAACAATTCTGTCTGTTGTTCCCTCAACTGTTGAAAGTAGCTCCCTTGTTTCTAATGATCTCAAGATCTGAAACTAACATTTGGATTTGAATCGGGTCCAAATATCTGAGGATTGATGTCCGTCTCTGTTGACTGTAAAATGTAAAATAATCTTTCCAACAGCACAAGTTTTATTATTCACATTCTTAAGCTTATGCCTAATTTTGTTTAGATATTATCTGTGTTGTGGTATTTCAGTATAGTTATTAAATTATTTTTATTTTTATCAACAGTGATGATATGATGTTATACAGAATTTTTTAACATGTTCCTTTGGATATATGTATATCTAAAATGTATATAGAGTAGATACTAGGTGGTGCGCAGATCGATTAAGTTTGAAATTACAGAAGAGATGTTTTTTTTACTATTAGAAAACTGATTTATACTATATTATAGGCTTGAAGTTAAGAATAGACTTTAAAAGTTTGAAATGGATGGAGACGAGGAAGATGCATCACATCTTTTCCAATCACTTTTAGGTCAGGTTACAGAGGAGCAGTGGGAAACATATAAAGAGCTGAGACGTGTGGTACGTGACTTGGTGAATAGGAATTAATATTGTAACTTTAAGTCTTACACGTTTAATTTAAATCAATTTATGCTAATTTATGTTGCAGTGAAACATCTTTTCCTATACTCTTAGTATTACTCTTAAATTAAAAACGTTAGGCTAATACACGTAAGACAAAAGACAGTGTAGGCCAGTATGTTACTTATAAATTATAGTTATAAGTCATGCGAAATTAAATTTAATTTGTGCTGACATCAACGAGCTATAAATATAAATTATTAAATGAAGTGGTCTATAGATTTATCACCAAAGTAAAAAACATAAGCTGAAAAGCTTTTCATAAATGTACTTGAAAGTTTTAGAATGTTTTTAAATATTTGAGTTTAAAACAGATGCCTTGTGGTTAGGGTGCTCAACTCGAAATCTGAGGGTCACAGGCTTGAATCCCCATCACAGAACGTGATTGCTCTTTTTTAGACGTGGGAGCGATATTATGTGTCATTCCCACCATTAGTTGGTAAAAGGCTTTCCCAAGAGTTGGTGGCAGGTGGTGTTGACTAGCTGCACTCCCTCTAATCTATCACTGTTTAATTAGAGATGGCTAGAGCAGATGGCTTTCGAGTATCAGTGCACAGAATTCAAACCATATCTAAACAGATTTAATCTTGTTTATGCTTTTTATTACTTTATTTTAAGAAAATTGAATAGTCATGTCCTGTATAATATTTATTCTCATAGGCCTATAGTATGTGTGCTGTTTGTAATTAATGTATTGGCTGTCTTGCAATGCTAATTATTTATTATAATTTTAAATATTATACAAGTGCTGGGAAATTCATATTCATATGCTAATTTATGTTGCAGTGAAACATCTTTTCCTATACTTGTGGTTTTTTCTAATGCTACTGTGTATGTAATTGGGTTAAATTATTTCCAGTTTGCTTTGTTCCCCCAAAATTTGTTACATAGCAGGAAGGGGTTCAGGGGTTTATCACCAACAGCAGTTTAATATTCAAAAGGAACAAAATTGACAGATGTATTTATAAAAAGCATTGTAGCTTATGTTTTTGGATAAATCTGCTCTATAAATGAAGACAGTCAGATGATGAAATGAAGAAAAGAAGTTTAAGATTTGAAAAAAGATAGGCTGGACTTCAGTTAAAACCATTTTATTTTTCTAATAAAGTGATTACTTTATGGTGCTGGTGCTCAAGAGTTGATGCATGTAAAACCTTTATGGAATTAATTGCTTTCAGCAATAGTGTAACTAAAGTGTAAGCTGCAGGCACAATGATTTCATAACGTAACATCATATAACATATGGAAAACAATGGACCATTTCATCTTTCAGTTCTGCCTTTGACAACTCATCTCAAGAAAAGTAAAAATTTAAACCTTTGTTTTTCATGAAATCATCAATTCCACTATTAAACTCTTTATTTTATTGTTGAGTGCCTGCTGATAATAGCTTATTCCATAAGCTAATTACCCTGATAAGAAAACTAGAAATCTCAACGAAAGTGTAGCTCATCTTTTCCAAATCTTAAACTTGTGTTTTCTGATCCTGTTTTATTCAGAATATAACACAAAGAAATTCCAGGCCTTTAACATATAACATAATGTTTAAAGAAAACAATGGCCTCATCCATTAAGCTTAATTAAACTAAACTTTTTCTTTAAAACTAGATTTTAAGAACAATAATGTTACTTTATGAGCAATTTTCCTCTTGGACAAGTCTTTTTTTTTTCAAAAATTTCACATTTTTGTGCCAATTTATCCAATTTTTGACTTTCTTTAAAACCCAGGGAAAATACTGTTGTGAATAACTTAGATATTACATTTCTGGTTGTAATAAATAGATAGAGGATTAAAATAAAGCACTAAAATGAAATTTATCTAAATTCATGCTCTAGACCTATTTGGAAGAAATGGAATCTTTGAGTTTTTATTCAAATGATGGAAAAGTTGTGAACTTAGTGTGTTTAGATTTTTCAAAAGTCTTTTGATTAGCTGTCACACAGAAGGTTAACTAAGAAAATTACTTAAGTAAATAATGGAGAAAGATAGCTAATTGTAGGTTGGTTAGGTAAAAGAATTACAAACATTGTTATTAACAACATAACAATTAAGGAGAACAAGAGACATGTCGGACTATTGAGGCTATCCCATCTATTAAACTAAACTTTAGAAAACAAAAAAGAGAAATAGCATCCAAGCCAGCCCTTATCATTTAAATTTTTATCAAAACTTCCCATAAACTCCCTTACGTTTACCGCATACACCACATCTGGAGGCAACACATTCCAAAGGTCATCCACTCTACTAGAAAAATAAAACTGCTTTAGCTGAAGATAACTCCTACCCTGCCAAAACGTATACTGTAGACAAAACCAAAATTTAATACCAATAGAATGAACTATCTGGAAAGAAAACACTGTTTGTCCATATAAATATAACAAATAAAATATAACAATAAAACTTGCTGTTCCTCAGACAAATCTTGTTGTTCCAACAACCAGACAATATGAATTCCACTTCCCTGCATATTTTTCAGAGCATTTTGGCATTTGGATATAAATTGTACAAGTGATAGTAGGATATTGTATAAGTAAATTCAGATGCTGTGTTTGAGTTAGGGTCTTATTTAAAAAGAATAAGAGGCAGAGAAAAGTTTAGCATAGGAAATGAGTATAGAAGTAGTTATAAGGATAGTTACTATTGTAATGCTAGTTGTATAAGAAATAAAACAGATGACTTTAGAGCACCAGTAGGAATGGAGGATTTTGATATAATGGGAATAACTGAATCATGGTTAAATGTAGATGATTTTGATGACAGAAATTTCTTTGAAATACAGGGTTACAGGCTATTTAATAGGGATAAAGTATTAAAGAGGAGGGGAGGAGTGGCTTCATATGTAAAATGTGAGCTACTTCCTGTTGATGTTGAGGATATCAAAGATAATAACAAGGAGATTGAATCCATTTGGGTTTCTGTTAGTGGATATAAAGGGAAATGGCTTTTAGTGGGAATTTGTTACAGACCACCAAATGATACTGATGAAATTAGTGAGAAACTTTACAATGAGATTAAGATTTCAGTTGTTAATGAAGTCATAATTATGGCTGATTTTAATTTCAGGCATATAGATTTGGAAATGGTAGAGTCAAACCATGAGGGAGAAAGGTTTTTGGAAACTGTTCAGGATGGTTTTCTTCACCAATTAGTGAAGGAACCTACTAGAAACAATGCTATTTTAGATTAATTGTTAACTTCAAATACAGAAATGATTGAGAGGGTGGAAATTGGGGAACATCTGGGTGCATGTGATCATTGATCTATTAGGTTCAATGTTTTTCTGCATATGGAGATAAGGAATAATGATATTTTGGTTACAAATTTTAAAAAAGTAAATTTTGAAGGGATGGGACAAGAATTTTCTGTTGTGAATTGAACAGCTGAGTTATTTGGAGACACTGATCAGATGTGGAAAATTTTTAACTATTCAAGGTAAACATACTCCTTATAGAAAGAAAAGGGTTTCAAGAAAAGTGATAAAAATTGTTTCAGTAATTATAGACCCATTATTCTTAAATCAGTTGTGGGAAAAGTTTTGGAAAGTCTGTTAAAAAATG